AATATTGAAAATGTTATTTTGTCCAAAATCTCATTATAGGTACAGTAATTCTGAACATGATTAAGGATCTATGATTACAGAATTTATATATGGGAAATTTAATTAGTTTCACAATGTCAATTACCCACCACTTTGGTGTGTTTGTTATTCTGTCTGTTCTAAAATTGTTATATGTTTATTCCCAATTCTAAGAGTACAGTGGGGTATGCTATAATGAACGGATCCTACTACGAATATTCCTATAACGAACGGTTTTACCTATAAAATTGAGAATGCTATAACGAACGCAACTCCTACAACGAACGCGGATGAATACCGGACTATTTCGCCTGGCGCATGAATATTATTGTACCGCGACCCACAACAAGAGCGTCAGGCGCCATCTTTGTCTCATTGTGTAGCCAGTGCACCACTGTTATTGTTGAAATTTCGTCTTTTGATGTGGAAATTCGCGTTATTTGTATAACTATTTTGTTATACAAGTATACAATTGTAACAATGAGTCGTCCAAAGCGAGTGAGAAAGCTAATAACCCTTGAAACTAAGAAAGAAATTATAAAGAAACGTGAGAATGGAAGAAGCATTGCGAAACTTAGTGATGAATATGGGATGGCTAAATCGACTATATGTACGATTTTGAAGAATAAAGAGGAGTTAAAAACTGTGCAAGTGGCTAAGGTAATCTTTAGACTTAGCAAAGCAAGGTGTAATGTGATTGAAGAGATGGAAAATTTACTCTTAGTGTGGATAAAGGAGAAAGAAATGGCAGGTGGTAACATTAGTGAAGCTATAATTTGTGAGAAGGCTAAACAATTGTTTGAGGAGCTTAAAGCCAAGACTCCCAGTGGAAGTGATAGTGATGTGCCAGTGTTTAGGGGTACCTGCATGCTGAATAACACTAAGGTAAGATAAAGTACCGTATTTTTTACATTTTCCACAGAATTTTTTCAGTGTTAAGCGGTTGTATTTGGGGGCCTGGAACGGATTAATCCTATAACGAACGAATGCTATAACGAACGAGGTTCTGGAACCAATTACGTTCGTTATAGCATACCCCACTGTAATAGGGTTTTGGGATAAAAGTCACAAAAAGGAAAGGCTTACTGATCCAGCTGTAATCTTCCAAATTTAGATTTTGTTCAATATCTCAATAATGTACAGGTACTGTACTCCTGAACATCGTTCAAACCATGATTCAAGTGTCCTTGTACTGAATGTTATCTACTTTCCTTTAAAATAGATACAAATAATTTTCAAAAATGTAACCTTAACACTCTTGGGTTTGGGTAGGTGCTCTTCCGTGAGACACTAGGGGTCTGGCCTGTTACTCGTCTCACCGCACTTGACTGTACCACATGAGATAATTGTACGTATAGAGTCATAGCAAGCTTGCTCTATGAGATAAAAAGATGGGATTTGTTACATTAGCATTGTAAATAAATTATCTACACACACTTTTATATAAGTATAATCACGATAAAATAATTATTTTTGTATGCAATCGCGAGTAGAAAAAATTTTGCTTAAGCTTAATGAAAATGTTAATACAGTACATCACTTTATACCTTTGTTATTTCATGTGATTGCAATGTGAACCTCATTCCATTATAAAGTGTACATATTTTGGAAAAAATAGTTATAGAAGAAAAGTTGTGAAAAAATTAATATTTTGCTACAGAGAAACATCAGGAGGCACTACACTATCACCACTTTGTGCAATCTCCTTGCACCTTTTACGTTTTCTCACCCCTCCACCCTTGCCAACAACACGAGGCATGGTTCAAAACTCTCACAACACTGTTATGAATAAATTAAATCAAATCACTGTGATGCACAAGAAATCAGCACAAGCCGCAAGAAAATGCATGGAAAAATGTATGTCAACGTTATATCCCGGGTCCTTTAAACACAAAAGGGAGACTGGTGTAGTGACTTTGGAGTGTAGTCTACAAAGTTGACAGATTATGCTGACATTGCCAATTGTGCATCTTGTTTGTCTAGCGTTCATACGCAAATGTAAGATTATTTTATAAAACTTTTATCTTCATACGCAAATTTGCGTATGAAAACTCTAAAGCAATAATTTAGATATACAGTGGGGTATGCTATAACGAACGGATCCTACTACGAATATTCCTATAACGAACGGTTTTACCTATAAAATTGAGAATGCTATAACGAACGAAACTCCTACAACGAACATAATTTAATTTTTTTTTTTTTTCTAATTTATTGTTTTATTATTGCAAATATTAATGATATTCTTTATTTCAGGGGTTTAGATGCATATTTATGCACTTTTTTACAATTTTTACAATTTTATATTATATTTTTCAGCGTTAAGTGGTTGTATTTGGGGGCCTGGAACGGATTAATCCTATAACAAACGAATGCTATAACGAACAAGGTTCTAGAACCAATTAGATTCGTTATAGCATACCCCACTGTACACAATTTTATGTATGAAAACCCCAAGAGTTAAAAATGTGTACAGTAAACAGTGTAGGTAGATACAGTATATATAAACAACAGTTTCCTTCTCATCTTTAATAAATTGAGATTCCAATTATCCAAACACTGAATTGATGTCTTGTAATTATTATGAAAATATATCTTCTTAGAAATGAATGACATTTTCATTTAGCTATATAAGTACACTTGCATACAACAACTTATTACTGTACATTGGTCTTACAAGTCTCAAATTAAAATGAAATTCTTTAAACTTACAAATATTATCCTTAACTTTGAACACATTTTGTTGTACTGTACTCTTATCCATGGATGGATATTGAACAAGAATATTGTTTAGGGTAAAAAACATTAATATAACTTTCATATATTTTCCTTAATGCAATTTAGTATTTCACAGATCTATAGAACATTAGACTATTTTGTTAAACAGTACCCAACCAGAATAACTTCATTTCTGAGGTACTGTACCATATCCAGTGAAAACAAATACAGTACATGTACTATGTATAGGTACAGTACAGTATAAAACATTTGTGTTTGTTTATGACTATAGTACAACATATATACTTAATGTTCTGGTCACTAAAGAAATATCGTATATCATCACTGACCAGTTAAATATCGTCCCTTTAAAGATTTCGCTTATAGGAACATTCCTAGCAAGATGCATCCCCTCCCTCAAAAAATTACGGTTTGTCAGTAAGCAAAGATACACACACACACACTTCCAAATACTAATGCTAAGCACATTTTCATCACAATCTCTTCATTTTGTGTTGAGACAAATATTAGTCAGGAACAAAGATTGACCATAAAATTTTGTACTGTAGTTGACGGTCGAGATTGTTTTCATATTTTAAGGTATGTGACCTGTGTATAATGGCCATAGCTTGTGAAATATTGTGGCTCAGTATATTAAGTATATCTTATATTAGTATACTGCTATCACATGAGCGGGATACACACACTATTATGTCACCATAGTATATATGTGTATCCTTATCTAGAGAATAAAGCCCAAGCTTCATAGGAATGTATCTAATATAAGATTTTGGTGATATAGTATGTAGCAATTTACTTTTGTAATACAAATATATGTACTGTATAATATATCTAAACCATACAAGTCTTGTCATGATAAACGTTTGTTAAGTACTATGATGTGTCAATATCACTAGTATCTACAATTTACTTTTGTAATACAAATATATGTACTGTATAATATATCTAAACCATACAAGTCTTGTCATGATAAACGTTTGTTAAGTACTATGATGTGTCAATATCACTGGCACACAGTATCTACATATTATAATACATTCCAGGTGACATACTGTACAGTATAAGTGTAAATACTTGAGAGAGAGAGAGAGAGAGAGAGAAAAAAAAATAAAAAGATTTGACTGACAACTGCTTTTAAACCAAACTAAATTCTCCGATAAAAATTTTCATGCACAAAGTGCTGTCACAAGATATGTAGGAACATGACTTTGTGCTCTAACTGGTTCCACCATATGCAGTATTCCACAATCTTATAATATACTGTACTCAATCAATTTAGAAATCAAATCATATGCAATTTCTAAAAATACTGTAGTTAGAAACAATTATGTAACACTAACGCCCGTATTATTAAACAACATCTTCCCATGAAGAAGGTCGTCGTGTTTCAACCCGAGCTTTAAACTAGACGAGTACTGAGGGACACTGCAGTACAGTACTTAACAGGGTGGTGTGGCGACAAAATGAACTAATTCCAAAATTATAAATGAATTTTATTGGAATTAGTTAATTTTTCCACTACACCACCGCGTTAAGTACAGTACTGCAGTGTCCCTCAGGACTCATTTAGTTTAAAACTCGGGTTGAAATACAACGACCCTCTTCAAGGGAAGATGTTGTTTAATAATATGGGCGTAATAGTCTACCTTTCAAAATATTCGATTTTAGATAAATGAAGCAGAGGAATTAGTGAAGACTAGTTATGGAAATGACTGCATTTGCAATGTAATTACAGTCATAATTAGTTTTACTTTTTTACTTTTATCCTTTTCACCACTGATCGTCTCGTTAGCTGCTTGGACGATTGGTCACGTCTCTGTTATGCACTGTTGGCAAGTACTCGGCATGTACTGGCTCTCTGTTAGACACTTGGCAAGTACTGGGCATGCACCAGCTCCTGAATATACCTGAACCTGCTGCAGTGTTGGTCAAGTCTGGTCTTGAAAGAACTCACACTCGGTGCCGTCACAACACTTTCTGGCAGATTGTTCCAAGAGTTCACAACTCTCACTCCGAAAAAGTTTGCCCTCAAGTTTTCTGGACTTGTGGCTTCTTCAATCTTGAGCTGTGACCCCTTGTGGGGCGAGTATCCGCCCAACTCCAAGTAAGGACACTCGACTGAGTAGTGCCCCTTGAGATGCTTATACACCTCAATTAGGTTGCCCCTTGCCTGTCTGTAGTATAAGCTACTAATGCATGAAACAATATATAGGGACACCAATCTATAGTTACAAAATCCTGTGCACTTTAGAATGTTTAATACAAACCTCACATTTCTGCTTAATCCAGATAATCATGACAGGTACACAGGTACAGTAAAAATCTTTAACTTTATCCTGATCTACAGTGTTTCCAAACAGGGCCATATTATACAAAAATTTTAAGTACAATAATAAATTATAATCATATTCTCTCAACAATTCTCTGCATAAAATTCATCTGTAATAATAGAATCCAAGCAGTTGATCTTGAAGTGTGTAATTCTGCACTTACAGTATCAACACAAAGGAGCATTTTCCTTCTAAGCCACTACCATCTTGGAATTGCCATTAGCATCCTTGTGGAGTGGTGTTGCAGAATTGGAGGAAGACAGATGACCATTCCTAGCCTCTTCATCATCAAAAGGAAACTCAACATCTTTTGAGAAGGATTGCTTACGATATTCTCTGATACGCTTGATGATATAAGCAATGGTGAGCGGTATTGGTGTCATGGTCGCCACTGCAATAGGAATCACCATTGTCACATCCCCTAGTGGAGCAAACTCTTGCAGGGCCACCTGGTGAAAGGAAGGGGTAGTAATAAGACTCTTGTTATAACTGTTACTTCCACCAAAATTAATTCAACTAAACTGTACTGTATGTACAGCAAAGTCACAAATTTCATTAACTAAAGTGGGGTGCTCAATGAGAAGTTATCTTTCATTACTGATAATACTGTACAATGCCATTCTCATATACGTACATCCATGCTTCGTTCACTGCTGTAATATCTATTAAAATATTACATAGTATTGTAAGATCTCTTTAAGATGGACTATATGGGGTGCTCAAGGCTGTGTCTGATTTGATAAATCTAGAAATTGACTGAAGTGTAACCTCCCCAGGTGCTTTCGAACATCATTTTGCTGAAAAATCCATTCCACTAACAAAATTAATGAGAACAATATACATTTACATTGCATTTAATTTTGTTGTAGCAGATGAATTCTTGAGGTGGAGGATGGTGGGGGCTACTTACACTTACAGTATGTTTATTAACATTTATATTGAATTACACTTTATATTCAGTTACACTTGTCTTTAGTATGCACTTAAATCTAGCTGATGTCATATAAGTACCTTGCTTCAGCTCAAACTCTGCACAGATAAAGTTCATGGATACCTCAGCATTAATTGTCACATATCAACAGTTTTTCTTCAACTGGTACAGTTCTGAGCCTCATTACTTTTCTCAGTGATTTTATTTTGTCTTTATTGGCTTTAGATACTATAATAATAAACAAGGAAAGCACTAAACATGAACAGAACACAGAGCAGTGGATGCGACAACAAACACACGGAAACTGACACCCTACATGACCTCCTATAAGCCAGAGGGTCTTACAGTATGTAGTACCGTACAGTAAAATCGTCAGAATGTAAATCCATACACTTTGAGTTCCACATACTGTTATGCTGATGAAGATGGTATACAGTCTTTCCTCGACTTACGACAACCCGGACATACGACGGCCATGGTCGTATAATTTTTTTTTCACAATACGTATTTTTGAGTCCCGACATTTGGTCGTAATGTGACGCCGTACGATAGCTTGGGCTGGGCCGCCTCGTGGTGTACAGTATCCAAGTCGTATCCCGCTCAGTTGGTGTTTGGCTGTCGTTGATGTTAGTGATCGCGCTGTGTACTGACAAAATTTTTATTTGTAATTCCCTTTAAAATGGCTGGCAAGCGTAAAAGTGAGAGTTCTCATGGTGCTGAGAAGAAAAAGAGACAGTCAATTACTTTTGAGATGAAATGTGTAGGCTTCTCTGACTCAACGATATCAACAATTTTGAAGGACAAGGAACGTATTCGTGAGGTAGTGAAAGGATCAGCACCTATAAAGGGAACAATAATAACGAAAAAAAGACAAGGTCCTCTTCATGAGATGGAAAAATTACTTGTGACGTGGATGGAAGATCAGCTGCAAAAGAGTGTACCCTTATGCCTTGTAACCATACAGGCTAAGGCAAGAAGCCTTTTCGAAAGCCCGAAAAAGCAGGCAGGAGATGAGTGCACAGCAAGTCATGGGTGGTTCCAAGGGTTTAAGAAACTTTACAGTTTGCATAGTGTAAAGGTGACTGGAGAGGCAGCAAGTGCTGATGTGGGTGCTGCTGAAGCTTTTAAGGAGGAGCTAGATCGTGTCATAGTGGAGGGAAATTAATTGCCTGAGCAAATATTTAATGAGGATGAAACTAGCTTATTCTGGAAGCGCATGCCTGAACGGACATACATCCACAGAGGCGAAAACAATGCCAGGATTCAAGGCATTCAAGGACCGAAATATACTTCTGTTGGGGGGGAATGTAGCTGGTTTCAAGATAAAGCCCTTCATGATCCATCATTCAGAGAACCCAAGGGCTTTTAAACATGTCAGCAAGCACACACTGCTAGTGTTGTATCGCAGTCATAAGAAAGCATGGATGACCCTAGCACTGTTTGAGGATTGGATCTTGAGTTGTTTCATTCCACGAGCCAAGGAGTATTGTCTGCAACAAGGGGTTGCCTTCAAGATTTTATTAATTTTAGATAATGCTCCGGGACATCCACCACACCTGGACGACCTGCACCCTGATGTTAAGGTAGTCTACCTTCCACCTAACACTACCTCTATCATCCAATCCATGGATCAAGGTGCTATTGCTGCTTTTAAAGCGTATTATTTACGTACGACCTTCACTCAGGCTGTTGCTGCTACAGAAGGTGCGAAAATGCTCAGAGAGTTTTGGAAGGATTACAACTTTTACAATGTACAAAGAACTTAGCTGCAGCATGGGATGAGGTTACAGGTCAGTGCATAAATGGAATATGGAAGAAGGTCCTAAAATGATATGTGAACAGTTTCAAAAGATTTAATGAAGATGAAGCAATTTCTGAGATAAGTAACAAGATAGTGCAGATGGGTAAACATCTGGAGTTAGAAATTGATAATGAAGATGTTGAGCAGTTGGTGGAAAGTGTAGCAGAAGAGCTAAGTAATGAGGATCTTACTGAACTGGAGGCATAGAAATTTGCAGAGGAAGAAGAGGGACAAAATGTAAAAGAAGAACCTGCACCCCCCCAAAAAGTTTTCAGTGAAACAAATGGCAGAGGCAGAGCAGGGCCGGATTCAGGAGTGGGCAAAGTGGGCAGCTGCCCAGGGGCCTCCACATATCAGGGCTGGTCGAGTTGAAACCACATGAATGACTCCAGTTCATGTCTCACTTTTGTGTGTGTGTGTGTTGGGAATTTGTACACTATCAATAAATATACAGTTAATTAAAAATTTCTCAATGTTCTAATTTCCTCAATATAACTGCATATGGCTTCAAAATTTTCCCGAGGGGCTTACAGCGCCCCCCGGAACTCCCATATATTTAGGCTCGCTTCACTCGCCACCCCACCCTCTTGGGTAGTTATAATGAGGGGGCCTCCACAGGACTAAATCCAGCACTGGGCAGAGGCATTTGCTACTCTTAAAAAGGGGATGCAAATGTTTGAAGAAATGGATCAAAATGTTGAGCATTTTGGAAAAGTTGACAGACTGATCCAAGATGCACTTGCTTGCTACCGGGAGATTTACAATGAAAAGAAAAGGCAAACTGTGCAGTCTAAATTGGACATATAGTTTTAAGAATACCCCCCACTGCTGTCTCCTCACGCCCTGCCACTGCTGCCTCTTCACTCCCTAAAGATGATCCAATACCTTTAACAAGCAAGTATGTCAGCCTGTCTGAAGAAATCAAACTTGATGACCCACCCAGCCCTGTCTCCTCCTTTGCTTCATCCAATTAATGTAGTCTCCATACTTAATTAAAAAATTATTGAGACCCCGTGTGCATTCAGCTGACTACATTAAAGGTAAGTGCACAGTAACAATTTATTCATTTTTCATTATCGATTACTTTTACTGTATTGTATTTCATTTTAGACTTTCTATCTATTATTTTCGCCTTTTCGACTTACGACCTGGTCGTCAGGAAGGAACCCCATCGTAAGTCGAAGAGAGACTGTATTACAGTTAAGTTCTGTGCAAAATGCACAATTTATCAAAAGTCTTACAAAGTCAAAAGTAAGAAAACCTTCAGTCTCCTCTTGGGTGAATAAGCAACTTCACTTCCATCACAGTGCAGTACAGTATATGCAAAGCTTCTATGATTTCTTCTCATACAGTATTTGAAAGTTGAAACTTCATTAACACTTCTGGCCTAAAATGAACTTCTATAATATTTAGTAAATTTCTAATTAATCTCTCTTCCAAATACATAATAAGTATAATTGCTATCCTTACCTTAAGAATGCCAATAGACAACCCAGTATTCTGAACGCCAGTCTCAATACTGATGGCAATTAACTCCTCCCAACTACGACGACAGATCAGGGAGGTTACAGCACCAAAGACAAACCCAAGCCATGGGAGCAACAGACCTGCAACTGCAACCTGCAAAAAAAAAAAATGGCTTTGTTACTGAGGGGTAACATTTGTCTAAACAAGGTAGTCTCATCTAAATTGTATTTTTTTTTTTTTTGCATCACCTTGTCTTGGTCTCAACTATACAGTACTGTACCTGTATTAGCAATCTAAACCTTACCATCTAAAGCAGGTACTGAAATAAATTACCAATCATAACCAGACCAAGACTTTGAGTTAACAGCAATTCTTTATGCCCAACAGTTCAGACTACATGTTATGTTGCAAATATCCATTTAAATGTAGTACGTACCTTAAAAAAATGGTGGGATAAGTATAATTTTTCAAGTTTGGTTTCATAATTAAATTGACCCTTTTCTTTATTGGGCTACTCAGGTAAGAAAATATTCACCTGTACATTTACCAGCCTTGAGCTTACAGTTTGACATAATATTTCAACAACTGAGCCTTAAGAGAAACAGCAGCAGGAGAAAGGAATAATGTACAATTTAATAACCTAGTCCTTTACCCTGTCTAGGGAACAAACCCAGAACCACTTACATACTGTACTTGCAGGGTAAATGCAATACTATCAAGTTTCAGTATTTTCCACCATCTCTTACAATCCTAATGACATGGAACAGTTACACTCAGTCTCACAAAAACAATTATAGTTTATCTATTTTAATTTAACACACACTGTACAATATCTTTCACTAAACTTCAAGAAACAATGAAAACATCATTCATCACAATCCAGTGTAAGTAACTCACCTTCCAATCAAAGAAGGAAAAAATGTAGAAATTGGCGTACACTCCAAAAGTCATCATGACGATGATGAAGATGATAGAGACAGGTTTCAAGAGACGCTTCAAAACTACAGCAACTTTCTGAGACTTCCACTGGATCAACAGACCAATAGACAATGGCAGGACAAGACCAACTACTAGCATGGCAATATTCTTGTAGGGAAGTTGTGAGAAGTGTCCCTCTGAAAGATATTAATAATTCTTATCATGTTTGTATAAATATTGTGGCCTCAGACATTATGCCTTAAAGAACAGATCCTTCATATTCCTTGTACAGTGAAAATGTATGAGATGGGAGTACAGCCCCCAAATTTGCTGGGATTAGGTTCTCAAAAAAATGGCCGCGAATCAACAAATCCGAGAATAACATTTGCGGTGTGTGTGTGTTACATTTTTACTTATGTACAAAGCAATGTATATTTCCTTTATGTGTTTGCCCTTAGGACAATTATTTCTTTTACCTGTAGTATTGTATTGTATATGTGTGCGTGTGTGTGTGTGTGTGTGTGTGTGTGTGTGTGTATAGACACATACACATACAGTACACACAAAACACATACAAATAAATAATACTCTAATTGGAAAATCCTCTCGCAAATAATCAGACACAAATTTAAAAAAAATGTGACAATTTACCCTCAAGTCCGTGCTCTATTAAGAAAGTACTGTAATAGAGTACGGACTTGAGGGTAGACTGACAAATTTTTAATAAATTTGTTTCTGGTTATTTGTGAGAGAATTTTCCAATTATTATTTATTTGTATGTGTTTTGTGTGTGTGTGTGTGTGTGTGTGTCTACACACACACACACACATATATTTACAATACAGGTAAAGGAAATTACTGTCTCTAGAATGAATGGCTTCCTGTCCCAAACGCAAAAATGCTGGCGACTTTAAAACTACCCACAGACATTCTTGGGTACATCCAGGGTGTCATCCGCGAATAACCGAGAACCGCGAAGTAAAAATCTGTGAACTTAGGGGGCCTCCTGTAGTGACTACGAATTACTCTCTCTCTGGATTTACTTTCTGATGCATTTATTCTATGCCATATACTTGTGAAAGTGCAAATTTTTACTATTTTATACTTTATTTCACTAACATCTTGATTACCTGTGTATCCCATCATTACATTTAAAAACCATTTAAATTTCACTATTTTAGAGTAAGACTACTCTTTGCACCTTTATTTACAGGACAAAACCCCACATTCATGCTTTCCTTTCTCCTTCATCTCTCAAACTCTGGTGTTTCTTAGCTGCATCTCTGTACACTGTTAAGTGCATTCACAAAGTTATAACATCTTTACTGTACCTTTGAAGATTGTGCTGGCAAGTGCATACACCCAGAGTGGGAGTGCCGCAAAAGCACCAACAGTTGATATGAAAGTCATAGTGACAGAAAGGTCAAGGGAGCCCCCTAACAAGTAGGTCCACATGTTAGATCCACCACCACCTGGGGAGCAGCCTGTCAAAAACAGCCCAAGCCACATTGCTGGGGTATCATAGAAGAGCCCATAACCAATGGCGTATGAGATCTGAAAGTGAAAAGATAACATATATAGTTCACTGAATATAATTAATATTGAAGATAATTCCCTTTTTATAGTTACAGTTCCATTCAGACAATTACAGTAAAGCCCTTTCACACTGAACATACTATATAAGGGAAAATAATTGTAATGAATCATGATATCGAAGTTAAGAGTCCTGTTGACAGGATCATTAATGATTGTGTCCTGACCTAATTGAAAAAAAACAATATACAAAAGCACTGCTGAAGCAAGACCTATTCATCAATGCAATACAAGTAAGTAACTCACAAGAGGCATAAACAAATACTGAGAGAAGAGGCCAATGGCAGGAGCTACTGGTCGGCATAACGTCTGCTTGATCACTTTAAGGTCTATGGCACAGCCCATGTTGATATAGGCCACAATCACCATTGCAATCACCACATGGATGAAGATCTTGTCCATCACTCGCTGTCCTCGCTGCACCTAAAAACATTACACAATTCATATTAATATGAGGATGTGAAACATTTCTATTCTTAATACAATACTATACAGTACAATATTTGTAACATTTACAAGAGAAAACTAAAAATATTTATGCTTCCTAATAAAAGGTCAACAACAGATAGCAAGAGTTATAATTTTACAACCATTTTCCAGACTTAAACAGGCTAAAAAATAGCCATAAAATGATGTTCTGGAGAAAATGATTTAATGTGTTATGAATTCATGAACTTTTTTTTTGGATTACTGTACATATGCCAGCAATGAAGGAAATGTTGATGAAATTACATGAAAGATGGCAAAAAGTTAAGATGTAAAATTTCCTGTGGTACATGTACAATATCCTTCTAAAAAACTCACCGAGACATCCACTGGTTTACTGACAAGAAGTTCATCATCTTTCCCATCACTAAGCACCAACTTGATCTTGGTAAATCCAAGGAAATTGCCGGTGATGTTAAATGATCCTTCAACTGAGCCATTTTCCATGTTCTCAGTGAGTGCAGGACTGAGAGGAATTTTGTTAGGTGCTATCTTGAGGTGGTTTAACTTGTCATCACTCTCATCCTAAATAAAAAAAAAATTAACAATTACTATACTGTACCTTATTTTTTAATTACTGTATACAGTAATATAATATTAATACAGGTAAAGTACTGTAAATAGAGCAATACTGTACCTAATTCTTAACATACTTCAAGTACTGTGCAGTAATTCTTTGAGGACAGTAAAATGAAGCTACACACTTTTTTTTTAATTAATCTATGAATTAAAGAATTAAGGAGAATACAGTACATATTTTGAAGAAACAACAAAAAAACAAAATAATGTGATGTTAATGATATGATTGGACCCTGTGTGGATAGCTATCATGGAATGAGAATGATGTACTTAGGGAAACATCCTCCAAGGTCACCCAACCTCACAGGTACATAGATCTCCACCAGACAGCAAGATACAAGTTGCCCTCAATTATTGCAGTTTCACGGGAACAAGCGTCATCGTACTGTACTGTATGTGATATACTTTTACCACCCAGATTTTGTTGATGCTGCACTGAGCTCAGGTTTGCACAAAGGTGACTGTACAAAGAGATCTTCATCTTTCCTGTGCATGAATCATCAAAGGAAAACATCTTGTGTGCCACAAGAACACAAGGCATTACTTGTGTACTGACAAAACCCATGAGCTTAAAGGGTCTTAGCAAACATACCCTAGTTGGCCACTGGTAAGCCAATAAAAAAAAACTTAGATAAAGACCTGTTGTTGTTTAGAGGTAGAGTGTAGCAGTACTGCCAACCCTTACTAACCTTAAAAAATGCTCTGGGTCACCCAACATACCTAAATTTATCTGCCTCCTGATATTTGAGTCATGTCTATGCCACCCAACACCACTTCCTTAATTCAACCGAAGGGTTGGGGATTGATGGCCACTTAAAATGTATTACATGCACTGTACAGATTTAAAATGAATATTACAGTCCCTATCTAAACTGCTCAAAGCTACTGATGGGTACTTGTCTACACTCACCTAATGACAGTCTCTCTTGAGACTACTACAATATATTAATTACTTATGTTCATTCAATAAAACTTGCAGGACAGTGCTGTACAGGTATTCAGTTATGAAATTGCTATTACTACTGTAATGCATAAAAAACTAAATACAGTACAGTAGTGTAAAATCTTCAAAAGGGAAATTTGGCCTGTGACTAAAAATGTAATCCCCCTTTTATTGGCTGTGACTAAAAATGTAATTCCTCTTTTATTATGTAAATCTATCTTTACTTATACAGTGGTCCCTCGGTTAACGAACAGTTTGATTAAAAAAATTTCTGTTAATGAATTAGCTCCCATAAGGATCTTCAATTCGGTTAATGAACAAAACTTTGATTAACGAAATCCTTACGACAAACGCGTTTTGTTCTGCACATCAGCTAATCAGCTGATCGGCTAGTCCGCCAATACAGTAATCGGTTCTATGCTTACATTCGTTTCCAGTGGAGTAAATATCAAGAAGGTTGTGCTCTTTAATATTTTTGCATTGTTTATATAAAAATTATTAGTCATTTTAAAATTTAGTTAACATATTGATAATATATGCAGTACAGGGAACTAGTTTTTTGTGTGCCCATCAGCCGCTTGACTCACCTGCCAAAGCTTCTGTTTAACTTTGTTTACAGTGGAGGAAACATCGTGTTTGTTGCTCTCTTGAATACAATTTTTACGTTTTTACATTAAAATTATTGGTCATTCTGAAATTTAGTTAACATATTGATAATATATAGTGCAGTGCAGTGTTGATTTAAATAAAATAGTCTTTAATTACAGCTAGTGAACTTAAATTTTTTTGGGTGAAATTACTGCATCAAGCATGGGTCCAAATAAATCTAAAAAGGCAATTTCAATTCAAGTGAAGCAGGAAATTATCAAGAAACATGAAGAAGGCATTAGAACCAATGTACTGAGTAAAGAAAATGGCATGTCGGCATCAACAGTGTCTACAATTATTGCACAGAAAGACAAAGGTAGTGTTTAAAGGTAGATCATGAATTGCAGAAACAGAGAGGTTGCTTAGTACAGTAGAAGTCCAAAAATACGGATGCCAAAAATCCAGACCACCTGAGAATCCTGACTTTTTGAAAATTCACTTTTTAAATTTAGCGGGCTTTTGGGTGTGCGCGCGTGTGTTTGTGTGTGTGTGCATGCGTGAGCTCCACAGCTGCACAGCGACAACAAGCGACCATGTGGTCGCCATTTTAAAACGAGCAATCAAACTGTGACAATGTATGTAATATTGTGTCCTACTCTTTCCATTTACCATATAAGTATAGCATACGTATTTACAAGCCCATAATAATGGCTCCTAAAGTAGATAAACTTCGTTATGTGAAGAGAAAGAAGAACACGTTGAAATTGAGTGGCAAACTTGAAATAATTAAGAAACTAGAACGTGGTGTGAGCAATACCGATCTAATGCAAACATACGACATCGGAAAGTCTACAATTTACGATATAAAAAAGGCAAAGAATAAAATTTCCGAATTCACAGCCTCGTCTCAGTATTTGCTAATGAATAGACTATCAAAATTTACCTGTTCATCTCTTCTTTATTCCTCCTTAAATTTAAATTTTAAAAGTACTGTCTGAGAATCCGGACCGACCCAATTCTCGAGCTGTCCGGATTTTCGGACTTCTACTGTATTTGCACTAAAGAAAAAAATGAAAGGAGATTCCATTTCTACTGAATTCATTTGTGAAAGAGCCAGGGAAATTTACGAACATTTGAAGGAAGATCAACCTAGTTCTTCTGAAACTGTGTTTGAAGAGTTTAGGGCCAGCAAGGGCTGGTTCGATGAGTTTAAAAAAAGAACTGCCATTTACAGTGTTGCTAGGCATGGCGAAGCTGCCAGGGCGGATAAAGAAGGAGCTGAAAAATTTGTAATAGAGTTCAAGAAACTGATGGATGAAGAGGACTATCCTCCACAGCAAGTTTTGAATGTGGATGAAACCGGACTGTTCTGGAAGAAAATGCCCAAAAGGACATTCATCACAAGAGATGACACTGCTTTACCGGGGCATAAACCCATGAAGGACCGTCTCACTTTATTGCTTGGTGCCAATGTTTCAGGGGATTTCCGACTGAAGCCTATGCTCGTATACCACTCTGAGAACCCCAGGGTGTTCAAGCAACAAAAGGTGGTAAGAGGACAACTTGGAGTTTATTGGAAGTCAAACTGTAAGGCATGGGTAATGAGACAGCTCTTTAATGAATGGGCAGTTGAGGTGTTTTGCCCTACTGTGAAGAGTTACCTCACCACCAATAAACTTCCTTTAAAGGCTCTTCTCCTTCTGGATAATGCCCCTGGTCATGACCCTGAACTTGCCAGCACTTTGGAGGCTCAATTTGAGTTTGTCAAAGTTTTGTTTTAGCCTCCCAACACTACATCAATTATGCAGCCAATGGACCAAATGTAATCAGCAACTTCAAGAAGCTGTATATGAATTAGATGTTCAGAAGGTGTCATCAGGCAACTATCACTGATCCTGATCTATCACAGGCACAGTTCTGGAAGATGCAGTACAACATCCTGGAGGCTGTAAAATTGATCGTGTCGGCATGGCAAGAAGTTTCTACTCGATGCCTGAATTCTGCATGGAAAGCACTGTGGCCAACAGTAGTCCATGATTTTGAGGGATTTGAGGAAGAAACAGAGTTGGACAAGAAGATTGTGTCCATTGGTCAGTCAATGGGACTCGAAGTGGAGGAGGATGATGTTGAAGAGCTTGTGATGTCTCATGAGCAGGAACTTTCTCATGAAGATTTGAAACAAATGGATGAGATGTTAGAAACAGACAGTGGTGAGGAGGAAAAGGAAAGTGATGACCATATGTTTCCTTCAGACTTAAAAGATGTTGTTCACTACTGGGAGATGTTTAGGAAACTGGCTTCAAGGCACCCTGATGTGGAAACAACAGAACTGATATTGTGTGCCGTTGAGGACAAAGTGGTCTCCTTCTTCAAGAACCAGCTAATGATCAGGAGGAGAAATGCCACACAACTAACACTTGACAGCTTCTTCTCTAAAAGGCATCGTGAGAAAGATGCTTCTCCCCAGTGTTCCTCTTCAAAAAGGAGAAAGGATTTTCATGTTAGAGAGTCTGTCAGTCCAGAGGTTCCTGACATTATTATGGAAGGTGACTCGCCTTCCAAGAAGCATAAAAATGCTTCTCTTCTCCCTTCTCCTCCTCCAACCCCCACTTCTAATTCCCATGATCATCATCAACCAGCAACATTCTTCATAAACACCTCAAAGTAAGTGTACTTTACTGCATTTTGTTTATACTTTGTATGTACTTTTCTGTGAGCTGGAACCAATAACCCATTGAAATAATGGATTCGGTTAACGAAGGACTCTGTGGAACGAATTGTGTTCGTTAACCGAGGGACCACTGCACTGTACTGTACTGTACTGATTTCTCTTATACCAATCTCCCCCTTCTTGGAAAACAACTCCTGGTATAAATGAGGGCAATCTGTATCATAAGGAAATACACAAACTTCAAATGCAGATGAATGGAAAAAATCAACTAAACACAGGAAGAATAAAAAATTATACACTACCAAAGAGATGCAATTGAATATTATATATTATTAAAAAGTATTATATGTAATATAAATGCAGCACATACCTTTATTAGTATATCGCCAACAGCTTGAGGAGGAAGGTCATCAATATAAAAAGTAACTTGCTTCACCTCGCCTTCCTTTACACTGAGGATGTTGTTGGTGGAGTCATTATTGTTGCTGAGTTGGAGACGGACTTTGAGGGTGGCAACTTCAGCAGCAGCAGTGACAACACTTCCCAGACCAGCCACCCACACACACACAAGCACTGCCCCGTACATCAACACCAGGTGCACCGGGTAAAGCGGACACATCTTGTTGCCTGCTGAGGGAAGGAAATGACCATTTTAACACTAATGATTCACTACAACTACCATCATAAAATGCTACATACAATTTGGAGTACTCAGATAAAACCATATTAACCCTTAAGTCCCGGGTTAAAGTGCTGGCAGTACACCCCCCCCCCCCCGGATAAATCGAGAAAAATCAACTTTTCCAAAAAAATAAAAAAGTGGCGGGAATATGCAGACGTTCTGGAACGTCACCCAGAGTGCACTGGTAAGATGTTCTGGAACGTCACCCGGGGCCTAAGGGTTAACTATACAGTATACCACTCAGTTGAAGTATGACCACATTAACATGAAACCCCCTTAAAGAAGACACCCAACTAACCTGAACACAGTAACATAACTACAAGCGACTGAAGTGTATATATTACTGAGACCAACTTGAGCCTTGACACTGGCATTCATCATATGTTCTTTGATCAAAATCAGACAATATTATATAAAAATAAAAAGTCTGTGTCTATAATGGCTTCTTGTGCATTTTTGTAACAGTAATAACGTCTGAAATCCTACAAAATATTTACAACCTTGCTTTTCAAATACAGTAAAACAAATATAAAATAGAAGGGAGACTCCAAAACTGATTCAAGCCAATACAGTACATACTTGTACTTATTTCTTCAGGAAAGCATATATATACTGTATGTATATATATATATATATATATAAATCACTGTATGATCTATATATATATATATATATATATATATATATATATATATATATATATATATGTATATATATATATATATATATATATATATATATATATATATATATATATATATATATATATATATATCTATGAATATATATATATATATATATATATATATATATATATATATATATATATATATATATATATATATATATATATATATATATATATATATATATATATATAACTTTCACCATAATTTGGGTGGTAATGACAAGGGAGGTGACCGATGGTTGGTGTGAGTAGGATCACCCCTTAGGTAGGATCTTATCATACACTCATGACCTGGATCAATCTACTGTCTTTTTTTTAATTGGGCATAAAAACAAGTTCATTAAAACCATAACTACGGGAAATACAGGGATCCCTATTATTCAGCAACCTTTTTGCCAGCATTTATTAATACGTACATACAGTACTAAACACATTCACACGGCCACGCAGCATAAGCAGCGCGACTAAGTAAACTGTAGTATAGTACAGAAAGTAATCCATCGACTCAAAGCAATCTTGTGTGTTCGCTGAGTATCATGCATCACGAAAACAAACAAAGCGGGTTCAGACACACGAGTGGTTGCACGTAGCTCCCTACGTGACGTCATAAACAAACATACCAGCCAGTTGATTAGGACAGTGAGCTACTGTACTGTTACATAAAGATTTTCCAAAAGTTGGTTGATATATTATTTGCTTTTATTACCTTAAGTTAGTGTGTATTAATGTTAAATTTCCATTTACAGTTCGATATTAGATTTTAACTTACTACAGTATATTATTTTTAGCAAATATGCAGCAATCTAAATACAGGGGTACTGTCTTTCTCTATATAGCCATTAACTTGGAAAACAAAGAGAATCGCGAGGAAGGGAAGGTGAGAGTGGATTTTTTTTTTAGTTTAATAAATTTATTGACAAATCCTGGAGTACAGTTTGCCTATTCCGAGTAATTCAGTCAGGTCTTGACACTTCTCACTACAAATGAAGTGCTCATGACACGGCACTACTGCGCACACACAGTTGATAACAATTGTTACTTCACTGCCCCGAGAACAGATCCCTTACTTAATTCAACACCTGGTCCAATCAGTGTCAGAAGACAGGGGGAGTAGCTTTGTAGTGAATCAGTACTCCAGTGCTCTACTGATCTAAGAGTAGACTAGTCTTAAAATTATCTGCAAAAAGTATTTTAAATAAACTGTCATTCTTCTAAGTTCATCGTACTTTTCCCAAGTAAGTCATGTACTGTGTCCTCTTAACTGGTTGTTGCAATAAACTACGCTACATTACTACCCAGTGCTGACTGTAGCTTGTGGATAAAAACTATTGTGTATCATAGAATGAGGACCGCTGGACAACCATGGCTGTTTCCCATTGAATTATTCTTTCAGTGTTACTCTGTTGCTACCCGTCACACATTTACTAAATATTCTTTATGTGCTTCAGTGAGGGTTAACGACCACCAGTACTGTAGTACAGCAGTGACACTTGTCTTAATGGTATAGAAAATTGAAGAAAAGATAGACCAAAGATTGAAAGAAAACAAACGAGAATTTAATGTAAAAACTCCAGTGGTAAAGACTGGAAACCATATTGTTTAACTCAGAACTGAGCTTAAAAATATCGAAAAAACGAAATGATAACTAAATTGATGTGCATTATGCAGAAGACCCGACAGCCGCACCCTTGTCCACTACCCCCTAAGATGTCCACCCACACAACGCTTCCATGACGCCTGCTGGACAACCACTCTACGACCCCCTGACTGAGACATGATGATCCTCCCCATACTGGCCAGATATTATGTAAAAAATATTGATGATGTGTTGAAGGAATATACTTCTTTCCTTAGGCTTTAGTAAGTACCTTTATAATATTAATATATACTTGTGTCACTTGCCAGATGCTTCTGGTGTTATTGTACAGGGGTACCTAGTGACAGCACTAGGATCCCGCTTCCTCTATCAAGGAATAAATATTGAAATTGAAAAATAAAAAATGAAACTCATTCGAAAAACTGTTTTTCAAGACTTATGGAGTACTAATGCAGAGGTGTGGGGACGAAATCCTTTGTCTCCTCTTTTTCCATAAGGCACCTACCTGTTTCATACCTCTGAAACCTAAGACTAAAAAACAAGAAGTATCGCAAGTTTCATACCTCTTAAAACTAAGACTAAAAACAACGAAGTATCGCAAGCGATAATATAAAGACTTGAACTGCGGAGAAGAGAAAGTGGTGGTGGTGTCAGTATAGCCAGCTCCACCCCAAGGCATGAAACCAAGGGGTGGAGCCACGGCAACTTTCACCGCTTACTGGGGCTTTTCCACTGTCTCTTGGGAACGGAAGTAACTGTTATTGTGGTCCCAGATGTTTAGGCTCGCTTCACTCGCCATCCCACTCTCCTGGGTAGTTATAATGAGGGGGGCCTCCACAAAGAGGCTGCCCATGGGCCTCCACAGGTCTAAATCCGGCACTGTTGTGGTCCGTGTGTGTGTGCGCATAGAACATTAGGTCATGATGGGAAATTAGCAGCTAAAAATACAAATTGAAGAGAAAACATAGATTACAACGTATGGTGACATTGGGCAGTACGACATTTAGCAAATGCTTTCATTACAAGCGGAGAAAATATTGGATGAACAAACAAGTTACAGAAACTAAAGTAGGGAGGTTGGTCTTGTGTGTATGTAAGTTTTTTTACGGGGATTAGCCCACCCGGGCACAATTAATAAAATTAATAGCAAATTAATAAAAACAAAATAATAATAAAAATAACCATAAATAAATATAACGAAAAAATAAATCAAGAGTGAGAAACGATATACATTATGTATGTTGACTTGTTGTGTTGGCCAAGTAAGAAAAACAATTGAGACCCTGCAATTGTGTGTAAATGAGGAAGAAAGTCAGATCAGCAACCTGGGACTTGGTCACAATATTCGTGATGCCATATGGCAGCAGGGTCTACCATTAGACAACACATTATGCTTCCAATATCTTCCAAGGCGATAGTACCTCCCTGTTTGGTAGCTGCTTACTACCTACTGCCTGGCAAAGTTGTTAGTATATCTCAAAATCAAAGAGTAAGATGGGAACAACGTGAGCTGTGCTGCTCCCTTGTAATAATTATTAACAATTACGAGATACCTGTACACCTGTCTAGTGGCCTGTATTATGATCTTCCTTCCATTTTCGTCATGGATATTTCTAAGTACGATATAAAATCTCCCAACATTTAATTGTTCATCAAACTAAATCCAACTTATTATGTAAAAAAATACAGGTAGTAGGCAACTACCAAACAGGGAGGTACTACCGCCTGGGAAGATATTGGAAGCATAATGTGTTGTGAAACGATCCAGGGCTGTTTCCTAAGTCAACATATAACCGAACCCACCCGGGGTAATAATATACTCGATTTAGTACAGTCGAACAGAGAAAACCTCATTAGTAATGTCGAGGTAGGGAACGAACTTGCAAACAGCGATCACAAAGAAATTAGATTCCAGTTAGATTTTCAGGGCAGCCATAAGGAAAATTCCACAAAAGTTCCAGATTTCAGAAGGGCAAGCTTTGATAGTTTGAAGAGGGAGTTGAGAGAAGGGGTATCATGCTTGGGGGTGAACTACTTGGACCTGACGGTTGAAACCGACCTGATAACGAGATCTGAGGTTGCCGAGTTCCACGACAATTTAAATAATGAGTTACTTAATGCACAAAGGCAGAACATACCATACAAAAAACCCAGATCAAACAATAATGACCATAAATGGATAAATAATTATTTAAAGAACATTATTGGTCAAAGGAAGGCTATAGGTAGGAGGATAAATCATGGCGAAATTTACCTCCGGGAATATTATAAGGTATTGGCCGGTAGGGTTAAGACCGAGATAAGGAAAGCAAAGAGGAATAATGAGCTGAGGATAGCAAGGGAGGCGAAGACAAACCCCAAGGGATTCTATCAAATGTATCAAACTAAAACACGAGAAAAGATTGGACCAATACAATCAGATACCAGGGAGCTAACTGATAACGATGGAGAAATGAGCAATAATCAGAATAAATATTTTTCAACATTTTTCAACACTGAAAATTTAAACATGATACCCGAGGCACCGACTCTATTCAGAGATAGTGAAGAAAACAAATTAAGCGAGATAGTGGTGACTAGTAACGATGTTAGTAAGCAAATAGACAAACTAAAGCCTAATAAGTCACCTGGTCCCGATGAGATATTTGCCAGAGTATTAAAGG